CACGCTTCAATCCTTTTCTGTAGTCATGGAACTCAAAATTTATATTAACAAATGATACATATAATAAATCAATTTATTCTATGTTCAACATTAAATATAAAACACATACCACAGTGTCGGCAACGGCTTCGTTTATCGATTTTCCATCTTTTCTAAGATGGCCTTGAGTCCATACTCTAGATATCAATCCAAAATCTGTTTTCCTACAAAAGCACATGCATCGTTTCAGCCACGCCTAGTTGCGAACATCATATCAGATAGTTTCCAACTCTACAACCGCATAAAAAACTTAAAAGATACTAATCAACTAAAAAGGAGATTTAAAAAGCGAGTGAAATTTTAAGATATGATGTCAAATAAGCCTAATACTGCTCTTCGGCCAAGCAACGGTACTTCCTATGGCTTCACTAAGAGTCCGAAGTTCATTTGTCGGTCTATATAATGTCAAACTATTCATGTACACTTCCTCAACCCAAACTTTCCAGCAGTCTCGTCCAAGTGGTAAGTGATGAACCTTTGTAAATGGATCTGTTGTTGCAATCTTTCCTTCCGCAACAACTTCTTCTTCCTCCTCAAAATACCAATGTAATAATTGACACCTTGTATTTTCCAGATTTGCGGTGCCTCCATGAACACCACTTCCTTGGTGTGACTACAATTCATAGTAATATAAAATTTCCAAAAAAATTCAATTAGATTTCTATATAATTTGGATTTATAACATATAAATATATAATAATGTAGGATACAAAAACCTGAGGAGTGAAAGCACGTGAACTCTTATCCTCCATATTCTGTAAGATGATACAAAAATTATGAAAAGTAAATCTACATGTACTTGACTATATTGTTGTACTGTTACCGTAGTATATATAAAAGTAAAAAATTATAACCTGTTGAGATAGTTTGAGAAGTACTTCAACCTTTTCTTCTAACGCTCCCATCTTGTCAATCTTTTCTTCTAATGTTCTCATCCTTTCTGATTGAGTTTGTAGTTGACTTTCAAGTTCTCTAACTCTCACATTACTTTGAATTTGTGGATGAAAGTTCTCTAACTCTCACATTACTTTGAATTTGTCCATCCACCTTTGATGGTGCAACTCCAAATCCAAGTCCTCTAACTCTTACATAGCGCTCAGGGCTTAAAACTCGAGCAGCAGCATCATCGCGAATGGAGTCTTCTGCTGGTGTATTAGAAATTGTTTCAGCACACGCTTCAATCCTTTTCTGTAGTCATGGAACTCAAAATTTATATTAACAAATGATACATATAATAAATCAATTTATTCTATGTTCAACATTAAATATAAAACACATACCACAGTGTCGGCAACGGCTTCGTTTATCGATTTTCCATCTTTTCTAAGATGGCCTTGAGTCCATACTCTAGCTCTCAATCCCTTTATATTTCGATTTTTTTTCTCTGCAATAAATATTTGGTAATTACATATACTAGAGTAGGACAATTCAAATAAGAAGAGTAGATATGTTTGTAATTTTACCATTTCATGGGCAATACGTGGATATCCTTTTCGACCCATTGTATGGACAAGCTTCTGAGATGTTCTCATGTTGCTAAACTTTGAACTTTTTTCCTATTGTGAAATCATAAAGTATTAACGTACAGTAATTATAAAAAGTTGAAGCCTCGTATGCAAATATACTTACACGGAAGTCAGTTGAAAGTGTTTCCTCGACAAATTTTTCCCATGCTTCTTCAGATGTAATATTCTTCAGTCTAAGAAGGGCTGTACTGCGAGCTCTATTTATAGAAGATTCAACTTGAGTTCTGATTTGTTTTCGTAACCTTGACTTAAACGTCCTCCAATACTTTCCCATATATTGAAATGTTATTTTTTGATAACAATCAGTGACATCGAACCTTTGTTGTACTTGTATAAAAAACTAAATTAAAGTCTGAAAAAAATATAGTAATAATCTCAACAACATAATTAACAAATCCACCTGTACGAAATTCCAAAGTTCCATTTTTTTCTTCCCATCAACTGAATGCCAATCTTTAATTACAACAGGGACATGTTCTCGTACCATGGCTCCAACTATGCTAACAAACTTAACTGAGTTATGGCCGACTACTTGCCCATATTCGTTGAATTCAAGTTCCATCTTCTGATGACTATTTCCAGTAATCATTTTCACTTGAGTTGGACCCCTTTTCTTTTTCAGAACTTCTACAGTTGCATTTGACGGTGGTGTGTCTTGCTCATCATCAACTGGAGTATCTAAAGAATTCTCTGCTTCGCTCGACATCCGTACCTTCTTCTTATTGTTCTCTCGAATTGCCATAGCAATTTCAGCTCTCCGTTGTTTACACTTATTGGAAGCTCGCCTGGTAGACTGTAACAATGCAACACAAAAAATTAAAATGTCATTATGATCAAAGCTTAAGAAATAACTTACACAAATTGAAGAAAACATAATTACCTCAAAATTGTCCATTTCGTAATATATTTAATGCACTGTCAGTTGATTAGAAAGCTGCCCAAAATGTAGAATACAAATCTGGAACATCACAAGAAATAAAGGTTAGAGATTTTAACAAATTCAAAATGAGTTTTTTCAGCACGATATGAATACTATATATATCACATGTTAACATGTTAAAAAACTAATAGGATATAAGCTAGTTACCAAACTATTCTACGGATCACATAAAAAGCCTTCAACGCCTATCCTTGCATAATTCTCATCATCATCAAGATTATCAATATTTCGTTGTGATATATCTAGCGGAATAGTTATCTCATACGTAGTATCTTCTTCCATGTGTGAACCATGAAAGTCTCTTGATGGTGCTTGTAAAGCGACATACCAACTGGATGTTTCATTCTCTCTTGAGTAAAAGACTTGTTTTGCTTGTGTCGCCAAGATGAAAGGATCATTTTCAAATTGTTTGAGTCCCTCATGAAGGTTAACCAGAGTGAATCCATCTTCCCTTCTTATTCTGTTCACGATATTTGCCCAATCACACTTGAATATTGGAACATGAAATGCGTTGTAATCAAGAATTATAGCATCACGTAAAACACCATAATAAATAATTTGCCCAACTGCATGGGCATTATCTTTTGCACTGGATCTGCAAATAGTTGTTGCCTCAACTAAAATGCCACTATTTTGACATGATTTCTCTGCATCTTTAGTGTGAAATCGAAGACCGTTTATGACAAATTCAGAGTATGGCATGGATTGACATCTAGGACCACGTGCAAGCCACATCAAATTGCTCAAAACATTGTCCACCAGCAGTTGACATTTAATCTGTGTTTATTTTGAAAATGTTAGAAATAAAATTACTAATAAAACTGAGAGGCGTATATATATATATTTTTTTGGTATCCCAACCTTATCATCCAACCAGGTAGCAAAAGAATCAATGTGTTTCTTATGCAACAAAGTCTCATTTCTTTCTAGTCGCTTGTCAAAACTCTTGAGTTCAGCCATATGCATCCTAGGTAAATACAATATATCAAAAAATGAATACGGTAAAACAACTACAAATTTATTGAAGTAGTTATTTAATAAACATACTCTATATATGGTTGAACTTCTGTATTATTTGACAACACATAACGATGAGCAACTTTCAACGTGTCATCAGACAGTACAAGCGACTTCCCTTTAGATATTGTACGCCCTACAACCAAGAAATCACTACCATATTCTTCATTGCGTACAATCTTAGCACCAATTTCAGATGCTTGTGTTATGCATTTGCTACAAAACATTGCATTTTCCTCGACAACATAACGTTCAGCTATGCACCCTTCAGGTCGTGCACGATTCATAACATACCCTTTCAACACTTTCATATACTTATACAAATACAAATATTTGAAACATATACGACCAATTTCATAATGAATTTCACTGTTTGAATATCTTGATTGAATATTACCTCTCGAATGGATACATCCAACGATATTGTACTGGTCCACATAAACGAATTTCTCTCCCAATATGGATTGTCAAGTGAACCATTATATCAAAAAAGGAAGGTGGAAAATACCTTTCCAACATGCATACAATTTCTATCACGTCCTCCTCTAATTGATCGACATTATTTCTATCCACAACTCTATGGCATATTGCATTAAAAAATGAACACAACTTCGAAATGGAGTTCCTTGCTCCTTTAGGTAGAAGCCCTCTCAACGCAACTGGTAGTAATTGTTGCATTAAAATGTGACAATCATGAGACTTCAGTCCAACTATCTTCAATTCTTCCATCGAAATGCAATTTCCAATATTAGATCTATAACCATCAGGTAATCTCAAGTTAGCAAGCCTTTTGCAAAATGTTTCTCGTTCAAGTTTTGATAAAGTGTGAGGAGCAGCCGGTAGGTAAAATTTATCTCCTCTACTCTCAGGATGCAAATCATGCCTAATGTTCATAGCTTCTAAGTCCTTACGAGAGTTAATGCCATCTTTAGATTTTCCTTTGACATCCAAAAGTGTACTGAGGATGCTATCACAAATATTCTTTTCAACGTGCATCACATCCAAATTGTGACGTACAAGTAGAGTCTGTAAATAAAACAAAAGCTCAGTTACACGCTAGTAGAAGTATTAACTAAAAAGAGGGAAATGTTATAGCAATTACCTTCCAATATGGTAGATTGAAAAATATTGATCTTTTCTTCCACGTAATGTGAGATTGAGTTGTATTCTTCTTCCTCTTTGGCTTACCACATTTTCCCCAATCATTTGTAATTTTATCAACTTCAGTAAAATCTTCTTCACCATTTTTCATCTTCGGCCCAATACCGTTTTCAATATGTCCATTAAACCCCCTTTTTTTTTTTTGTGAAATGGATGGCCAAAGCAGAGAAATCTTCTATATCCCATGTATGCAAACTTCCTACCATGCTTCAACCATAGTGAATATGTATCTTCACGACAAATAGGGCAAGCAATTTTTCCCTTGACGGGCCATCCAGATATATTTCCATAGGCAGGAAAGTCATGTATTATCCACATCAATTAGCTTTTAAATTGAATGTGCACTTCGTAACTGCATCATACATCTCAACCCCATCATTCCATAACAATATCAAGTCATCTACAAGTGGTGCCAGAAAAACATCTATGTCATTACCAGGCTGCTTAGGTCCCAGGATTAATAAACTCAACATTAGACTTTCCTTTAACATGCATAATGAGGGAGGCAAGTTATATATAGTTAGAATTACTGGCCAACAACTGTATTTAGAGTTTAGATCTTTGAAAGGATTAAATCCATCAGTGGCAAGACCTAATCTAATATTTTGAGGATCTGATGCAAAATGTGGCCACCTTCTATTAATTGTTTCCCAACTCAATGAATCAACCGGATGCTTAATTTTGCCGTCCGAACTTTTATTACTTGCGTGCCATCTTAGTTGTGTTGACATCTCATCTATTCCAAACATTCTCTTAAGTCTTGGTATTATCGGAAAATAACGTAAGACTCTTGCAAGAACTTTTTTTTCAATTTTCTTAGTCCGTTTCTTAACTTTCCATCTTGAGGAACCACATTTTGGATAGACCTTGGCATGTTCAAGCTCCTTTCTATATAGACAACAATCATTATAGCATGCATGTATTTTCTCATAGCCAAGATCGAATGTATTAACAAGTTTTTTCATCTTATAAAATGAGCTCGGAAGTGTATTATTTTCTGGCAGCATGTCTCGAACAAGATTTATGAGTTCATCGAAACCACTGTCTGATAAACCATGTGAAGCTTTATGCTTAAACATAACAACAGAAGCTGACATCTTCGTAAACGCCTTACAGCCAGGATATAAAGGAGTTTCAGCATCATGAACTAAACTTTCGAGCTCTTTCTTTCTTCCATCAGGAGGGTTTTCAGGATCTTCATCGCATTGTGCATAGAAGTCCTCGAACATCCTACGTGACTCGAGCATTTGCACATCGACTAAATTTGATGTATTTGGTTGTTCTCCATAAAATATCCAGACGCTATATGCAGGATCCATACCCTGAATAACCAAATGTTTGTAGACTATATCATAATGGTGATGCATTAGATTCCTACGCTTAACACAAGGGCATACTATCATCTCTGAATTACTATTTTCACGAGCTCGTTCAACAAAATTACGTGCTCCAGCTTTGTATTGTTCTGAAAATCTGCAAGTTAAATTTTTGGCGAATTATACATTAATATATTATTTGTTTCATATTTAGATTTGCAAAATTAGTTTTAGATTATCACCTTGATAAGTGCAGCCACTCTTTGTCCATTATATCCTCCATATTCCTACTAAGATGAAGTCTTTAGCTATATGCTATACATTAGTAATAAAGTTTCAACTAATTAGACGGGAGGGGAATAAATCACAAGTTGGAATTTAGTAGGAATACTTCGAAATCTAAGGTCAAATATACTAAAAGAAAATAAATGGAATCCCTTTTAGTCATAGTAGGTAAGAAAAACGCAATAATCAAAAGAATAGATCATGTTGCCCCTTTTTTAAATATTAGAGCATATTGGTCACAATGGAGAATGCGACAGGGATTTATGTGATAAAACGATATATTGGGAGTTCAAACATTTTCATCAAAGCAAGAATGCACAGTGAGTTATGTAGCTTAGCCAATTGGCTGAGGCTGAATAGGGGTGGGGGGTGAACGGGTGGAAGGATTTTGTCCATAGCTTCCATCCAATCATCTATGTTTTATAAGAGGACATTTATCATGTAGATTTATGCAACAGTAATATGGTCCCTTTAAGTTTAATACTACCTTAGACAATTTGTGTATCCAAGAATTGGAAGGTCTGGAGACAGTTTTTTTCCACTTCTTCGAAAATTGTGCAGTTTTTCTCTTCTCTCTTTATTTTTACATGTGCAATAAAATGTTGTACTTTTAGTAAGTATCCTCTTGTGAGTAATAGACTGGCTTGTTTTAGTGCTGTCATCTGGAGGGCATTGCAGTGAGTTAAATGATGAGAGAGCAGAAGTTTTGGCAGACCGAACTGTGTTGTCCAATGAAACCAGTGAACAATGTGAGTTGTATAGTGGAAAAGATGATATTTGTGCTCACGAGGTTCTTCAAGATGGTGAACCTGATTCTGACTCAAGTGAAGTCCAGAATAGAATGATGTGGAAGGTTAGTCATTGGTTAACTTGCAGTTTATAGCACATGTTAAAAAAGGAGGGTCAACAGAAATTATCATTAGTAAGGATGGTTGCTAAGACTAGATTCTTGGACCTTTCTAAAGAGATAGATCATAGACCTAAATGGGAAGTGACAATAAAAAGGGAGTAGTGTAGTCAACCTTAAATTATTGAATATAAGGCTTAGTTTGTCATCATTGTATTACAATTAAAGAAACGATATTTCAAACAGCTAATTGTCTAGATTCCATTTATGGTTTTATATATTCTAAATCAGTTCTTGAATTTCTAGGTTCTTTTTCCTTCTCTTCTCCAAACATAATGCATATTAGTGATTCTCTATGTTATATATCTATCCTCTTCTAACTTCATTCCTATTCATAGAAAAAAGCAACCTCGGGAAATCATTATTCCCTATCTCCATTTAAGGAAAGGATTCTTGTAGACCTTTCTTGAGTCCAGCATGCACTTTCAATGCTTGCAGTGTAAGAAATATTTCTGTTTGCTTGAGTTCTACAACGTGCAGTATTAAACCTGAAAGCAAGACCTGGATTGAATAATCCTTACCTAATTATTTTCTGTTCTTGTTGGTCATTCATGTTTAAACAGTTTCACATGTAAAAGCTCCATCAAATATTCAACAGCAAGCTCCAATACAAATGGATATAAAAGAAGAACCAAAGTTTACTGCTAAACTATATCAGTTTATAAAATCAAATACTAATAATGGAGGATCCTTATGAAAAATTAAATACTAATAAATGAATGCCTTTATCTTTGTCATCCATAGAATCAAAACTAACATGGCTAAATCCATTTGATTAAAACTACTAGCATTCAAATTAAAACACCTATCACAAGAAACCGTCCCGTCGAACAGTTCAGTCAAAAAACAGCATGTGAAATTGACTCATAATCAAATTATAGGAAACCTTTGTATCAGTTACCCACATTAAGAAGAATCAACATCCAATATCCAAACTTATATACTGGGGAAACAGAATGAACTGACCTTAGTGAAATCCGGCAACCGGATGTAGGAGAACTATACAATCAGTGTCGATGTCGTCTCAAAATCTTCTGCTGGCGTCGAAAGTCGGAAGAGACTGGCAGAATCGGGATGAAATTGATGAAGAAATTAGGGATGAAATGCGCGGAATGACGGAGGAATTTGAGGATGAAATTAGGGATTGTGTGAGAGATTATACGATTAGGGATTTTAGAGGATGAAGGTAAATTATTTAGGCCTCTCTATTGGACTTGGGACTTTTCTATGGGGCTTACTTGGGAATCCTTTCGCAACGTTTTAAAAACGTTGCGAAAGGTGATATTTCGCAACGTTTCGTAACGTTTTTTAAAAACGTTGCGAAAGGTGATATTTTCGCAACGTTTTAAAAACGTTGCGAAACAGAAATTTTTTTGGCAACACTTTAAAAACGTTGTGAAATAGATAGTTTTTCGCAACTTTGAATAAACGTTGCAAAAACCAACATTAGCAACACTTGTTTAAAAAATGTTGCCAAATCGTAATTATATCAACTAATGGCAACATTCACATATTTGAACCTTGCAATAAACGCCTTTGGCAACACTTAATTAACAAATGTTTCGTTTTATGTGTTGCAAAAGTCTAATTTTGTTGTAGTGATCACGACGACCACCACCACCACCGTCCTTGCCACCACCACAGTCACCACCATCACCATCTCATCATGCCCTCTGCAACCAAGACTTTCACTTCCACAATCCTAATAGCGATGCTGCACAAGAAGTTGCTACAATGGCCACAACACCACCACTTAACAACCACCAAGGCACCAACACCACTACTACCTCACCACCATAACCACCACACCGAAAACAAGTAAAACCACTCACAACTAACATTAAAACAATAACAAAAAATGAACATCACCACCGATCTTTGCTGCAACAACGCTATGATGTTCGTGGTCATTGTGCAGCTTTTTCGATACTGCGAGCAGCACTGTGAAACAGCGGTCACAACAAAGCGTCGCTGTGTACGATCTGAGTGAGCACTGCTCGACAAAGACGGTCATGTGCAAGGAGAAGATAGAGAAATACAAAGAAAGTGAAAGGGGAAGAAGAGGAAAATCGTCGCTCGCTGCTCATAGCGATTAGCTTCGCTGTGATTTGGTGACTACGGCTATGTGGAGGAAAGAAGATAGAGGGAGAGAAGAGTGAGAACACCACTCACTGTGACGAGCTCCGTTTGATCCAGCGACGGCAACCTTGTAGAGGAGAGAAGATTGAGAGACGGAGAGATAGAGAGAGGAGGGGAAGAATTGGGAGAAAATAATCTAGGGTTTTAATTGGGTGGGTTGGGTTATACATATTGAAAACCTGATTTTTGAATAAGTTAACTTTAAACCTTATATTTGAACTCCAATCTTTAAACACCTGTATGGATGTAATTTCCTCTATATATATACAGCCAAAACCACAGAAAACGGTGCCGAGGGATTGACTTGATATTACGTACAAGAAACGACTGCTGCAGTGAATATATTATACATACACACAGAAACTGAGCAGCTTGCAGGAGTCTTTTTGAGAGAGAAACTAGTCGGCAGCTGTGGGGGACAAAAATTCTATTCTGTGGCTGCAATATTATATATTTACACACACATTGGAGCAGCCAAGAAGAAGAAATATATACACGCAGACGGAGAGCTACGGAGAATTAAAAGACAGAAAAAAGGGGCTGCCGGGTGGGATACAAGTTGCTGAATTGGAGAAAAGAGGCAGAATTTATACATGCAAAAAGGCAGATGAACGGGAAAGAAAAAAACAGAATTTGAAGGGCAATCGGTGGCTGAATTAGAGGGAAATTTGAGGGAGATTACACATGCAAACAGAGGAGGAAAAGGCTGAAAATTATGACGGAAAACACACGTGTTCGGTGGCTAAATTGACAGAGAAAAACACATAAAATGGTAGCTTATTTTTTAGGGGAAAAGGCTATTTGCTAGAGAAAGAACAAGAAGAAAGCCGCCTGATTTGGAGAAAAGAATAATTCATTCACGTTTCGTCAAATTCTGGTGATGCCTTTTAAATTTTGCGTGTTAAATTTCGACTCTATGCTATGCTAACTTTTTAATATAGTTAGGATGTGATAAACTTTTGTTATGAAGTTCTTAATTTGAACAATTAATTTGACGATAATTTGTTTAATTGTTTGGATATTTATTATTGTTTCGTTTGCTTTTCAATTAATTGGCCAATAATTGAATTATTTGTGGGTATTATTGTCATCGAGAGAGATAATAAGATCATTAGCACATAGTAATAAATATTGTGAGGTTTGATAGAAGATAGAGATATACCTGTATGCTTCACATGATTTTTATAGATGTTTTAGCTCATTTAATGCTTTCATGCACATTCGTAATTTTTATAGAGATATAGGAAAATCATGTGTAGGATTAGATTTTAAGGCTATCGAGATAAGCTTTTAAATAAAATAGAAACATTGACCAATAAGCATGATTTCAAATTGTCAATTTATATTGTTGAATTAAATTGAGTAGCAAAAGGGGTTCCACATCTTAGCGAATTTGAAAAACTCTTACTTTGCTTTCAATTTAATTGCTAGATTTAATATGTTTAGTCACAACTTGATTTTGTTATTCGATTAAGGGTAGTGTTAGCTTTAACTTAATCAAACACATAGTTCTCATGGGTTCGATATTCTACACACCACTTTATTACTTGTTCACAATCTCGTTCACTGTGGATAATCAAACGATCAATTTTTTTGGTTTTAAGACTCATTAATATTGATCTTTATAGACTTTTTAAAAGCTCTTTAAAATCTCAAGTATTGAATCTAAACTTCTTAAAAGTTATTAAAAGTCACGGAGTATTCAAAATGTTAATGAAATTTAAATTTTCTAAAAATATCTATTACAACAGCTTTTAAGGACAAAACACAATTACAGAATCTAACCATTTATTTCCCATTTACCATAAGAATTTGGGAGGCTTTCACAAAATAAGAGCCTTAGACTCATGAATAAAAAAATCAATATTTTTTTTTCTCTATTTTGCCTATTTATTGTCTTATTAATATATTGATTTTATTGCATAATTAGATTTATTTATCTTCCCATTAAAGAATAATATTTTATTTGTATTTTGGTTATTTATCTATCTAATTGATGTGACTTTTTAAAAAATATTTTTTTTTTTGACATGAGAGATTATACATTCTGTATAGTAGAGCTTCGAGTATAGTATTTTATTCATCCTTATAATTTATGCAATATAATATTGTATTTGGTAATGCAAGTAGCAGTTCAGTATAGTATTGTGCTGTAGAAATAAATAATTCGATAAAATAAACATGTGCAATAAGTTAAACAGGTATATAATATTATATACAAAATTGATTTTTATAAAAAGAAAGTCTTTATGAATTCTTTAAAAGCCTTTATATAAAAGTCTATAGTAGTACATGAAAGACTTCATCAACTTCGTGTAATCCATCACTTACAAAAAAAAAAAAAAAATGTTTTTAAGAATTTTAATTGAAAACACCCCCATAAATAAGTATTAATTTCCTGGCATCGCAATTCTATATCTTTTTGGAAAAAATTGTTGCAGAAATTATATTATGACCCAGTTTGATACCGTTTAAAAATGCAATTAAAATTGAAGTCAATTCAATAATTAATTTCAATCATACATTTTATGAGACCCACAACTTTTTGTTCACACATTCTATGAATATTTATCAAAATTTACTAAGAAATCTGATTTCATTCAATAACAAACTGGGGCTATATGATTAAAATTGAAAATTGTTTATCGTTCACAAATCTTTAAAAATGTCCAATATTTTATGAAAATTTCTAAAATACTCCCGAGGTCACTAGGTTGTACTTCATGATATGACCCGATCTACAACTCTTGTTAAAAAAAAATGACAAATTCATTCTAGAGCCGAATACCCATGATTTTGATTCAAGAACCAAGAATCATCCAAAATCTAGTCAATTCTCGATTTTGATCCAATTTTTTTTTTTTTTTAAGAAAACGAACTGGAACCTTTGTTTTCGGTTCAAAATGTTAATTTCCGATTAAAATGTCTAACCCTAGTTTGTTGTTAGGGTTTTTAAATTTATAATTGACAAGGCAGTTGATGAAACAATAATTGTATTGGTAATAAGAGCCTTAATGTCCACTTCGTAAAAAAAAATTATTATTGTTATTTTATGGGTATTTAAGATATTTTTACAATATTGAAATGGTAGATTAAATCATATTTAGTTGGCTTGATTAGAGAATATTTCAGATAGATTTTTTGATTATAGATTTTAAGAAAAAATAATTTTTGAATAATGTGTGATTAAAAATTCAAAATTCTTGTAGCATTAAAAGCTAGCGGGCTAAATGTATTAATATAAAAAAAATTTAGCATATGGTGTTGCTACAGTTGGTAGCAAACTTGCTTCGAGGAAAAATGTATTTGTAACTTGTATGCCATAAAAAGATTATAATCGAGCGTTTGATATATGAAGATAATTATATCTTTTTTGTATATACGAAAATATAAGATTCAGACTCATATGACAAGCCAGTGTCAAGAAAAAGTCACCGACGAAATATCGTAAGTAGGACGCGTCGTTGAAAATGAAAATAACAAAAATAAATTTTAAAAACTTTGCACATAAGGGACTAGGGTTTTAGGGTTTCACTTTTGGTGTGTTTGATTGATATGGAAAATATCACCTAGAAAAGAAAATATTTTTCATCTTTTGTGAAAAATAAAAACCACCTCTACTCAAGGAAAATATTTTCCTTAAAAACAAGGAAAATTAGGCATATTTTCAAAAGTTGAAAAATATTTTCCATGAAAATAAATAACAATCAAACAAGTGAGAATTTGGATTAAAAATTGATATTTTTCATGAAAAATAAATATAATCAAACATACTCATATTCTTTCTGAAGAGATCTGAAAGAGAAAAGGAGATTAATTTGATTTTACACAAATAACTGAGAATATGAGGCCAATACTGATGAAGGGGCACGAGAGGCCATTGACGTTTCTGAAGTATAATAGGGAAGGGGATCTGCTCTTCTCCTGCGCCAAAGACCACACTCCGATGTTTGGTTCGCTGATAATGGCGAGCGACTCGGCACCTACCGAGGCCATAACGGCGCTGTTTGGTCCTCCGATATTTCCAGTATTTCCTTTTTCTTTTTATATAGATGTAAAGTATGTGATTCTGGTTATCTATAGAAAAAGAGGCTTTGAACTGTTTTAGGGCGAAAATGGACTATTGTTTATTCAAAATAAGAAACTTACTGGATTTCAGGTTATTATCATTTTGGCGTTAAATTTACACACGGATTAAGGAGAAATGTGTTAATTGTATAGGTTTTTATGGGAGCATTTTTAATATGTATTTATATGTAATTGCAGAAATTTTTGCATACTTTGTATTGGTGTCTTGAACACTCGTTAAATGGGAAAGTGGGCAAGACTTAGCTAGGGACTAACAAGCATTATGACATATCAAAGGGTGCTTTTTGTGGTTAGACATGCTAGTTGGTCGGTTTTTATCTGGCTTTTAAATATCCGGGTTTTAAGTATCAATTGAACCAGTTTCTGTGTCGGACCTTCCGGTCTAGTCCGATTTTGAGAACATTAGTTAAAAGTATAGGCTTTTGATTAAAAAATTGGCAAACAGATTTCATCTTGAACCATAGGTGAATAAGTAGTTCGGTAAGAATTATACTTTATAGGATTTTTCTGGAGCCTAATTACGCAAGATAAGTTAGAAAAGAAATGTTAAAGAAATTAATGGAACAAAATGGCATAACTACTCGTCCAATGAAATGCAAGTGGCTTTTAAGGATATAGTTTTGTGTGAAAGAAATGATATATGTATGGAGATAAGAACTTGATGTGGGATGAGCTATGATGCACGAGCACTTGTACTAGGGGCTGCGTGTTGTGTCAAACACCTACACTATCTGGACACTCCATGACTTAGGTCCCACACTACATGCCATGTCTTATTTTTAAACTTCTAAAGCTCGAAGATACTTTAGGAACATTCTTTGGCAAGTGATCCACATAGAATGTGTCTTATCCTATATTAAAAAGAATAAAAATAAAGATATGAGATATACGGGGAGTTTGTTTCTCATTTTTGCAAAAATGAGAATGAAAAATATGGCCGTTATGGGCCCCACACAAGGGATAGAAATTCAAATTTGATGGCTTGATGTGATGGATAAAAATCATATTTTTCATTTTAATAGAGAAAAAATGGGAAACAAATGGGAGCATAAATTTAAAATTTTGATATTTAAATCAAGGTGCCATTGAAGTATCTATGTCCTGCTTTTCATAAAAATCACGCGTTGTCATGTCGTGTAATTGTCTGTGTCTATTTCCTTGCAACTTAGGGCATGAGTTTGTTAACTGCATTAGGAACCTTAAAAAGGAAGTATTAGGAGAGTCCAAGGGTAGAAACCACCTAATGAAGAAACGGGGTGATGAAGTAAGAAGGTGCCAATATAACTTGAGGCTTAAAGAGAATGCTATAGAAATTAATGAAAATATAAAAATAAGGATGTTCTTGAAAATTACAAGCTAGCTAAATTGGAAGCAAAGAGGGTGATTCAACACTTGCTAATCGGACCACAATCTATATTAGACAGATTAGGGTGGCATGAGGGAGGCTATGGGGAGAAAGCAAATGTGAAACAAAATTGGTTTTGATGGATATAATTTAAAAGTGTATGGATGTCTTGTTGAGATGGGTATTCTGTAATTGACGTAATTATTTGATGAAAAGTTAAATATTAAAAAATGCTTGATAAATGGAGAAACAGTGTTATAATGCATATTTTTGAAGATGAAAAAAATTCAAGATAGTATATGCTATGGAGGTATTACGAAAGTCTGATTGGGGTGTAATTCAGAGTCATTGAAGATTTGGTCTGGTTTATGCTCTAGAGATCAAGTGCAGAAGCCATCTATGTACTTCAGATATTGATGAAAAAGAAGATAAAAAAGGAGCAAGTTTTGCATTACATTTGGAAAAAGCATATGATTTGGGTACTAACAAAGTGTTGGGGTGAGTGTTGTTTGGAAAAAATGTCTGTAGGATACATCAATATTAGTGAAAATATGTATAGTGCAGAAATCATAAGTGTGAGATCTAGATGTCCAGTGATGGTAATAGTAGAAAAATTCTTCTTAGTAAAGGCTTGAATCAAAATTTTGTCTTGAGTAATTATTTTTATTTATTATTATTATTATTATTATTATTATTATTATTATTATTATTATTATTATTATTATTATTATTTGCATAATATTAGTGAAATTTTGATTCTTTTATTGGGAGGATTATAGCTGTAAAGTGTGTAACTGGTCACATAATGTGTTGCACCTGATTACAATTCAATTAAATGACTGATTGTTACTTTTGTTTCTAGGGGATTCAACAAGGCTTATAACTGGAAGTGCAGACCAGACAGCAAAGCTATGGGATGTTCAAACTGGAACTCAGCTTTACACCTTCAATTTTGATTCCCCAGCTAGGTCTGTTGATTTTGCAGTTGGTGATAAGTTGGCAGTGATCACCACTGACCCTTTTATGGGATTAACTCCCGCTATTCACATCAAGCGCATAGCAAGAGACCCCGGTGACCATAAGTATCGAGTACTCGTGTGCATCTGCAAAATTTTGTCCTTATGTGTGTGTGTGTGTATGTGTGTGATGGAAATGATCTACCGAGCACCGTTACTTAGCTAAGCAACAATACCATGGCACATAAATTATTTGGTGAATAAGTTCATGGTGGGTAGTCACATCAAAGGAATTAAATGATCCACCAATTATAGAGGGATTATCTACTAAGCCTCTGTTTGAATGGGTTCAGGGCGCCTGATCATGGTTAGAAATGGTTATACTGTTTCCCCTTAAGGTGGAAATATATCATGTTGATTACCTTAGTATTATTCAGTTCTTTTAGGATGTTGATTTTATGTGGTCTGTATGTTTATATTTTATATTCTGGCCTAGGTATAATTTATGCAATCTTTAGCTATTTTAGGTTTATACACTGTTTTCTGCTTATATTAAATTCGAACACAGTTGTCGGATCCTTTTGTTACTTGTCTAATCTTCCTATTTTATATTGCCAAATTTTTTAGTAGGCAGTAAATTGTAAAAGTTGGCTGCATTGCAGAGACTGGTGAATCTGTTGTCATTCTCAAGGGGCCCCAGGGAAGAATCAACAGAGCAGTTTGGGGACCTCTGAATAAGACAATAATAAGTGCCGGTGAAGATGCTGTAATTCGTATCTGGGATTGTGAGGTTGTAAATTATATTTTATCTTGTCTTGAACTGATATATTTTCAAGAAAAAGGTTGTTACTAGAGACTAGATAGGCAATATTTGCTTCTGAAATTTCTGGGTATTCAGCTACTTAACTGACTCTTCAAATTTAGTATGCAGCATTTATTTCGATTTGTACTTACCTTATATGCCTGATAATTTTTTATGCCTTCATTGATATGAAATTAGTATTTTGTGTGTTTCTAACTGACAGACAGAGAAATTACTGAAAGAGTCTGACAAGGAAGATGGCCACAAAAAACCCATTACATCACTTTCAAAATCTAATGACTGTTCACATTTCCTCACTGGTTCCCTAGATAAATCTGCCAAGGTATGGTATTTTTTTCCTTAATCTTTTGGTATCCTCTTAACCCTTTTGTTTTTATGTACCTTAACCCTTTTGTTTTTGTGTACCTAAACCTCTGTTTTCACTTTCTTATTGGCTGACTCCTGTGAGTGTTCACTAGCTTTGGGACGCAAGAACTTTGACACTCATCAAGACGTATGTAACTGAAAGCCCAGTGAATGCAGTTGCAATGTCTCCACTTCTTGACCATGTATGTGCTGACAGAGAACTTAACCTTAAAAAAATCATGGTTTACTGTTCTGCCTTAGTTCATATACTTAATGTAGCTGCATTTTCTTTTCTCGCCTTTATATTTATTTGAAATGTGTCTTGTTTGTTGGTGAACAAAGTGGCAACTTATTTCCTTATGGCTGTCTTCAGAGATAACTGATACTTGTGAGGATTTAAGCTTATCATGTTTGATCTAGAACTATTAACATAGATCTGATCTTTGAACTATAATATGTGATCTTCGACCTGGATGATTTAATCAAAGGTTGTCGAAGTATTTTAGAATTCGACGAGCAAGCTACATGGCAGATAAGTTACTCATGATAGGAATCTGCTTAATCCTGAATTCTTAAAGTGACATGTTACACATTTATGGAGAGCAGACGTTGACTAAGCTTAGATGTTGGAAATTGGCTTTCAAAGTCCTGCTCCCCTCCAACCACTTCATTTCATTGAGATGTGCAAGGTGTAGATCCTGACCTTTATATGTCATAGAGTCAGCTATTCATCTTATATATTTTGGCCCCTTGGTGGACTTGATGAAATAGTGCAATTGACTATGATGCACATTCACTCTTACTAGGGTAGCGTGTTGTTGTGTATGTAGCTCATATAGAGTGGAACACGGATTTACTGGATCAAATAGGTCAGTGCCAAATTGGAGTGAGGGGAGCGGAGCGATGGCATCGGCCTTGCATGGGCTTTAATTCATTGTCTGGTTGCCAGGGACGATGAATGAGTTGGGGAAGCGGGGCGTTGCCCCCACGGTACGGTATAAGGGTACTTTCTTGTACGGGTCTTAAAGTTTTATATGAGTTTGGGCTAGGGTTAGTATAAATAATAGTGTTTTAACCCTATTTTTCATACTGAATAAAATTATCTTCACTTCGTTCTCGTGGATATCGCCAGCCCACGTAAATATTTGTGTTAATTTCTCTATTTCATCTCTTTATTATTGCGCATAAAATCCATCACGTGTTTGTGTCATGTGTCGTGTTGGAGAAAAAAATGTATACGAAAACTTGTGAGGGCAGGCTTCACCTAGTGTACACTTGGAGTTCAACACTGAATCCCTTTTTCTATTGCCAGGAAATTGATTCTAATGTAAGGAAATATTACTAGAGGAAATGTGAATGTACATAAATATTTTATGCCAGCAGTATCATATGTTATAAGATGATATGACAAGTTTTTGTGTCGTGGATAAATTATAATCACTAAAAATTGATAATTTTTAAATAACTTGTCATTGTTGATCATTAGAGAGCGGATACTCTCGATTGTAAATGGATGTAGAAGTGCTAGTCTCCATTGTTTATGTTCAACCTGATGTATAGCAATCAATGACAGATTTTATCAAGTCGACGTTTTCTGTCTGCAAGACTTTCATCACATATGTTTCTTTCCTTTCCCTGTGTAGATTTTTTAACTTGTATGATTTTCAGGTTGTTCTTGGAGGTGGCCAGGATGCATCAGCTGTCACCACCACAGATCACCGTGCTGGAAAGTTTGAAGCCAAATTCTACAACAAGGTAAATATCATTGTTTCTTAGGAATGAAGTTAAAATCTAATTAAATCAATTATGAATATTTTATAGAATTTTAGGAACATTTAGTCGTGTCTAACAACTTGTATATTTGTTTTTGTGTGTGGTTAGATCCTTCAAGAAGAAATAGGTGGCGTCAAAGGCCACTTTGGACCGATAAATGCATTGGCATTTAATCCTGATGGAAAAAGGTCATATTTTGTTCATTACCTTTGCATCTCAGCTGAAGCTGGAATTCTTTTGGCATCATGAATACAATTTTATTTGGAGTTCACATGCTTGTTCATTTATACTGGTGCTTATACTTTTGACGTCTCATGTGCTAATATGTTTATGCAAGAGTGTTCACCTTTGTAGTTACGTTCCCGTGTTGTTAGAGTCCTGTGGTTGAAGATCTTTATATGATTATGCATTCGTTCTAGAAAAATATTAAACCAAAAGAATGGGTATTGGTTATCGGCACTCGGGATTGTGGTGGAATTCGATCTCTGGTTGTGATTTTGATGTTTTATTGGAGATTTATGGTGTGAGATACTGCCCTCCTTAACATGAGTAGGTCTTTCCTCGTCAAGTAAAACAATTTTATTTTATTATTATTATTTTTTTGTTTTTTGGGGGTGGGGTGGTTGGGGCGGGGGGGGGGGGGTTCAAGTAGTTCCTCAATTTTTTTTTCTTCTTCTTAATTTGAGCATATGGATTACCATGCTACTGATGCAGTAATTCTTTAGCGTGTGGAGAAGTTCAAATGCTTTTCTCTATGTGCTGTTTAACTACTGAAATGACATCACCTACATTTTCGGAGATACCAACGATGCAGTGTTAGAATGAGTTTCTGCAACGTTTTACTATTCAATTTGTCAAAGGTTGGGTGCTTGGGGCTGTAGATACAATCTTGAGTTTCTTATGAAGTGGGCTTAAGAATTATCAATTTTGGTGTGATCTTTGCATTTTATAATTTTTCAGTTCTGTTCAATGTGTTTTCTTCATGCCTTGTTATGTGCTGGTTAATCTGTATACCAAATAATGTAATGTTTATTTTTCATTTTAACTTACAGTTTCTCGAGTGGCGGTGAAGATGGATATGTGCGATTGCATCACTTTGATCAAGATTATTTCAACATCAAGGTTTAAGTGTACGCAAAGGAGTGCAGAAATTGTCTATTAGTTGTTTATTTATGTTATAATCATTAGAGCAGAAGTGCTGTGTAGGATAGATCATCCACATTTTATACAAGTTCTACCGTTCATTAAACGTATCACTTAGTGTCACTTAGATTGGTGTTGGGTGTTGTGGCACCAGTGATGTTAGATAGTATCATTCTTTTTTTTCTTTTTTTTTTTATTTGTTGCTCATCCAGTTGGTATCAAACTCCTTTCTTGGTCAAATACATCCCAAGTCATTAAATGCTGACAGTGGTATGTATTCAAATTTTATAGACAATGAGTGAGTCGTAGCAACTAGCAAGCAATGCATGTTTGGTGAACCTTAAAAATATAGAATTTTTGGATAAATATTGTAGAAAAATACTGTGTATGGGTTTTGTTACACGGATTTTTTACAAGGATTTTGGCAGCATTGTGGTTCAAATTCTTTTTTCCCCATCTTTCAACCAGATTTTGCTAAATAGGGCACTTGTATGAATTCTGTGAATCATATTCTGTAAGTGTAGAAAGGTTAAACATTGTATTAGTTAAAGCTTACAATAAACAACTTATTTTTGAAACTAATCATTATCTTTGGTAATAACAAGTATCCTCTTGTGGTAAAAGAAAAAAAAAGTTATTTATCTAGGTTCTTTTTGAGCCGCATTATTTTCACAAAATACATTTTTAAATAGTGATTTGATATTATTTTAATTACACATTTTTTAATAAAATAATTTTACACGTAAATTTAAGACTTTTCGTTGTTTTTTAATAACACATTTTACATCAATCTATTATTTAAAAATGCATTCTTTCAAAATAATGTGGTTCAAGTACACACCTAAACTTGTTTGGAAATAAAAAGTAAATACTCTTGAGCTTATCTGACATGGTGTGATGATTGGACATATGTTCTTGTTTGGCTTCTAAAGAAGATACCAAGAAATTCTAAAATTGATGTTGCAATTTTTCGTCATTATCTCTATTACAAATATCAAATATTTTTATTGAATTGGATTTTTGGTGATTTAAGAAGAGAAAAGAACGAAAGAATTCTTGCTTGATTTGTTTCTGGTAAAGGTGCAATAAATAAATAAATAAGTAAATGATTAAATCCATGTCAAATGGATTGCCTTCGGTAAAAATCTTACCTATCTTCACCAAACTCTTTTCAAGTATGTCTCTAATAAGGGCAGTGCTGGGGTGGGTGATTTTTTTTTTTTTTAAATAATCACCCCCGCCCCCACACTACGCAGCTCAGTTGTGCCTGGCTTGTACAGCCAGGTTTTTCCCTCTAATAAATGAGATGGCAAACTTCTTATCAATCTAGAGTGTACATTTTGCTTTATTCAAATAACAAAGTTAAGAGCATCTTCAAAAGAAATATAGGGGAATTTACATAAATGTCACTAAAATTAAAAATGCATAAAAAAAAAATTTCATTTGCGCTACTTCTTCTAAAAATGTCACTTTTTATGCAAAATGTCCACTTTACCCTTTATGACACCATTTTAGGAGCAAAAGATGCTTGATTTGAATGCAATTAATGGTGTGATGATTTGTTTTATATTTTTTAAACATTTAAGATATGATTATTATATTATATAATATGAATTTTTGTTAAAAAAATGGGTAATAAAAAAAAAAAAAGAACACACAAACATGTATGAACACAAACCCTACATTCTTCTTCTTCTTCATCTTCATTTCATCATCAAGGGAAAGCTATTGATCAATCTCAAACGTGAGCTACTAGAAATTGTTTATATTTTCATCTCATAGTTTCTTATTTTAGATGTTTAATACAACATGGTTATATTTAATTGAACTTTTTGAATCTCTTATTTATTGATGTGTTTTATTTTTTATATATTTTTCAAAGGAAAAAATACCAACATCCTCTAGAAAAATGTGAAAGATTTCATATTTAATAAAATATTGAGTCATTCCTTATGGGAAGATATTGTGATGTTGGAGTTGAGAATTGATTATCACTATTAATGTTTTCAATAATTTCTTCCAAAGAACTAAATATATGGTTTTCAAGTTTCCTCGAAATTTATGGCAGTTCAACTTTCGAATAGTGTCGTCAAAACCGTCGGGTTAGACATTTGAATTGTCGAACTCGACATTTACTTACTGTCGGGATGGACAATTTAACTATCGACTTCGACACTTAAAAATTGTTAAACCCTTTATTTTCCTTTTTGCTATTATATGGATCTAAATTTTCAAAATCTCCAATTTGATGGTATTAAACGTCGATATATGGAATGTGCAAAATTCTCACATTTGCAATCTTAACATCTCAGGTATGGGTCATCATTTGAGATTCATCGTGTCGCATAGGGGAAAGTTTGTTCAACCCCCAATATACTACAAGTTCTTAAACATCCGCTCAATGTCGTTGTTGACGTTGTATGTCCAATGTTCCCCCTACTGCGTTTTACATTATCAAATTATATTATAGTTTTTTTGTCATTATCGTTTGTGACCATTATTGCTCATTATGTTGTTATTATCGAACTCTACTACTATTCAAAGTAATTCAACACACTATTCAAAAACTGTTATCACAATTCACTAAAAATCTAATTTTAATCCCCACAAAACACATTGTTTGTAAGTTGTGAATAGTAGACTCAATTGACGCATAAATGATAAAACCACTAATGTTAAATCGTATTACTATGGAGAAAAGGAGGAGGACAATTACAAAATTGGATTGAATTATTTACTACAATATTAGAAATGGAGTGCTTTTTGTACTTTAAAAGAAATCAACAATTTAACGTTTTCGTTATCTTTATTCTTTTTTATCATGTTTATAGTCTATTAATTTCATTAGAGCGTATATCTTGCATAAAGGTATTTTCAACTTACGGTGTTTCCCAACACATTCTCAACTTACATTATTATCTTCAACTTACATCGGCATTATCATTCCCACATTATTCGCAGACAAGCAAATATATATTCAACTTCACAAGTAAAATACGGATCCATAGACAACATATTGCATGACAGCCCAACAGTTCATTTGTCATTCCCAACAGATTGTTTCTGTCATCCTCGACACTTGGTCATGACAAATTATATGAATAATTTTCGACAGTTTCATTACAATTGAGTAAAGTACATTAAAAATTTCAACGTAACAAATATTCGAATACACAGCATTATGTACATACATTATCACGTGAATCCCTAACAGAAACTAGAGACCATAAATATAGTTTACACATAAGCATAATAGTTGCAAAATTAACAAATTCGGCTATGTTACCATTGAATTTCACTTAGGAGCACACAACATTTAAACAACGGTTATAGCAAACTAAAATATTTGTGCTCATCACTAATAGAAACTGTAAAACATTTTAAAGTAAAAAGCTACACAAAAGTACTATCACGATACGTTTCTATTGTGAAATAAATACATCCAAAAGTACTATTACATCATTAACTACTTAAAACAACTGTTATGTTATTCTTGCGAATATATGACTATTTTCCTAGCTAACTCCTACAATATATTTGATATGTCGCTTAATTTAACATTGGTTGACTTTCTATCCGCTCTCCCTCGTGAATGGAGTCCTAGTCAATGTAGCCTTGAACACCTGTTGATCGTTGCATATTTGAGTTAACATTATCGTCACCTTGAACGGGTATGGTTGATGCTAATGGTACATCAATGTATACTCCTATGCAAAAGTAGTTTGAGTTGTATTAGGTACCAAAATTTAATAAAGGAGGAAAATAACAGATGCTACCAAAATTTGAAGTATAATATCGAAATGATACGTTTATCTTCAACTAAACATATTAACGTAAAACATAAGAATTTGACATTGCATAACAACCCCACTACGGAACTTACCATCTGCCACAAGCATAGAGAACTTCATGACTGTTCGGTCATGTACCTTTCGGTTCAACACCTTCATACGAAATAATCAATTTTAAAATGCCAAGGTTAAGAAATCAAAACATTCTAATTTTGTTTTTTTAAAACTGAAAGTAGTAACACATACCAATTGCCTCTTTTACCCATCTAGTCAATGGACATTTCGGTAGTTTAGGCTACCAACTTTCAAGTCAGTATTTTCATATGAAACAACCATGTTTGAAATCGTGAAGATAAAAACTTCAAACTTTGGGACAAATACGTTTTTTAAATTAAAGTGATAATACGTATCAATCCCCTCATTTACCTAGTTAGCCAATGGCCCTCCGATAGTCCAGGCAAGCACCTTTTGGGTCGGTGACTTCTCTATCTAGAATGACAGTTTATCTCTACTGATGGATTCATAACTATTATGTCTATAATTCATGAAGTAATAATGGTGCTCAAATGATATGTTATACATTTCAACCCCTAAAATCACACGTAAAAGAGAAACTTAACAAAATTTGGCTTTTGCAATCAATTGTCGAGAATTTCAAAGCCTAACTGTCGAGAATGATAGTTCATTTGTCAACATATGATTTCGTTATTGTCAGAATGGACATTACATTGATATTCAAATAACCCAGAATAATCATATAAAGACACATTTAACCGAACTTATTTGTGCGTGTTGACCAGAATATACCCAATTCAATTTTAGCTCATTTCACAAACTCAAAAATTAAACTCAAACTCAATTTGCCCAATAATGACCAATGAAAGAAAAATGATAAACACAATTTAAAAAAATAAATTCATAGATAACTTACATAAACCAAAATGTTAACATTTTTCATAGGACTAGAAAAATAAACAAAAAAATGAGACATATTGTATCAATTCAGGACCAAAATTGTGAAGAATAAAAAAAAATACCCCTAAATTTGAAAAATCAGAAGAGAAGAGAGCAACAAATGCAAAAAGAAAGAAAAATAAAATCTCAAGAGATTAATGGTGATCTTCGTCGAAGGTGGACTGATTAACGATCATTTAGCTTCAAAAATATAAAAGTCTCTTGGAGATACTCTAATATAATAGTGAAGTGAGAGCATTTGATGTGATATTTTAAAGCTTTTTGTATTATTTTTTCATCTAGTCAAATCAATTCTTAATGAAGGACATGTAGGGTATTTGAATTATCTAGATAGGCAAAAATGTTCAAAATTTTTCAAAATTAACAATCTTGCAAAGACTTTAAAAATGTGACATTTTTGACTATTTTGGTAATTTTCACAGAAATATAATATGCTCTCCATTTCAAAGAGTTAATCTTTAAAGTCATGCTTCAAAAAACTTTTTAAAATTTAGAGATTGAGATTGACTCTTCAAATTTGGACAATCAAACTTACTCTCTATAATTA